TGTTGCGGAGGTCATGCCCAAGCTGCGGAAGCTTCTGGACCTGTGTCGGGAGACTGGATTCTTCCTACGGTTAGACAAGAGTGAGTGGTTCAAGCCAGAGGTCTCGTACCTGGGCCACGTTGTCGGCAAGGACGGGATCCTCGTCCAGGAGAAGAAGGTCAAGCAGATACTGGCAGCACCCCGGCCGACGTCGAGAAAGGAGCTGCAATCGTTCTTGGGCCTAGCGGGCTACTTACGAAACTTCATTCCGCACTACTCCACGATAGCTGGAGGGCTGTTCGACTTACTGAGGAGGGGCAGGTCGTTTACGTGGCTGCAGCAGCATCAGCGAGCGTACGAAAGGTTCAAGGACGCAGTGGCGTCGACCGTCAAGTTGCATCCCCCCAAGCCCGAAGGCGAGTACGTGATATACACGGATGCCTCAGAAACGAGCGTGGGAACAGTGTTGATGCAGCGACAGGGTGAAGTCGAGGTGCCGATAGAGTTCGCCAGCAAGAAATTCAGCGACACCGAGAGTCGGTGGGACACACGCGAGAGGGAGCTATTCGCCGCTAAGTGGGCGATAGACCAATGGAGGGACTATGTGAGTCTGTCACCGTGGTGACGGACCATAACAACCTACGGTACCTGGTGAACGTGGACAAGGGGAAGGTGTTCCGGTGGGCCCTATACCTCAGTCAGTTCGACTTTACATCTCGAGAGAACAGAACAACGTCGCGGACTGGCTGAGCCGCTATTCGGCGATGACGGGTGACTGCGACGAATTGTCGGACAAGATGGCCCTCCGTGTGGGTGTGGTGAGGCGATGTAAGCCCCTGGCCATACCACCCTTGCCGACCGAGGGGGAGTTCAGGGACGCGTACGCACGGCTACCGCGTGCCGGGGTCAGTGGCACGCGCCCCGAAGGCAGGTGGATAGTGGATGTTAGGAACGGGAGGGTGTTCGTGCCAGAGGAACTGCGGTCACGAGTACTGGTTAACTTCCACTACGGCCCCAGTGGGCACCTGGGTGTAACGCGCACGAAGAGGAGAATACAATCCCTGTTCTCCTGGCCTGGGCTGAGCAAGGATGTAGAGAACATGGTTCGAGACTGCCTAATATGTACGCGAGTGAAAAGACCGCCCGTGGCGGCACATGAGGTGCCGTCGGGGTCCTTGGGTGCGGCGAGTGCGCTAGATATCGTCTCCCTAGATCATGTCGGCCCGCTCCATTTCGGACCGGACCGGTGGTGGATCCTGGTTGTGATTGATCACGCGACGAGGTACATGGTGGCGAAAATTGCCACCGGCATGACGGCCGCGGAGACCTACCGCCAGTTCTACGCGCACTGGGTGTTGCACTTCGGGATCCCGAAGGCCGTATTGACCGACAACGGGACGAGTTTTAAAGGGGAATTCCACCAGTACGTGACCGCGCTCTTAGGCTGCCGGCATCTCACCTCAGCCCCGTACCGGCCCCAGGGCAATGGGATCAACGAATCCTCGCACCAGGGTTTGAAGGCAATGCTTGAGGCGATGTGGCAGGAGGGGAGGCACGAGGTCGACTACGCTCTCGAGGCAGCAGTGACCACGCATAACACAACTCCGCATACCAGTACGGGAGTGAGCCCGTACGAGGCCCTGTTCGGTCGTCCGCCGAACATAGCGCAGTGCCAGGGGTGGACTTTGGTGCCCGGAGAACCGGGACGACGGCAAATGCTGGATCGCCTCGCCCAAGAGAGGATGACAAGGATCCTACTGAAGGATAGGCCGATTGAGCCCGAGCTGAGGAGGGAACTAAAGGTGGGTGACGTAGTCGTGCTGCTAATGGACGAAGGATCTGCGGCCGCGGGACTCGGGGGAAGCGAGACTCCTAAGTGGATGTCGCCGCAGTGGTCGCTCCCGTGCAGGGTGAG